TTCTCTCCCATGGAAGAATAGCCCATATGCAGAGACAGATGTGAGGCTGAAGTATTTTCTACATATAAATAATGCTGGGAGAGAATGAGGACACTATGAGAGGGAGCAGTTGGGAAAAACAGTTTATTATAAGCTAGAGATGACCAAGTAGCTCTTGCGTGTATGTTTTTAAAATATTAAATTATGTATAATCTATATGCCTAAATATATACAAAATATAAATATACGACACATAATAATAATAATAAAGCAAGTGCCCATGTAGCCCTCACTGATCAAATAATAGAATATCCTCATCACCCAAAATTCCTTTTCATCACGCTTCCATACCCCCATTCAGAGACAGTTTGTTAATTTATATTTAGCAAAGCTAATTGAAAGCTAATTTCTTTGCTTTTATCTTTTGACTTTCCACATTAACGTGTAACCCTAAATGGTTAGCAATATTTTCCCTGAATTATACTGCATTTACTCTCTTGTATCTTGATCTATCACTAAACATTTTATTTTAATAATGACATGTTATTATGTATAACTAGTTTATCATCTTTCACTAGTGTACAGTATTTCAGTGTGTGACTATACTACAGTGTATTTATTTTTTATTACTTTACTTTACTGTTGATGAATGTTTTGGTTGGTTTTTAGTCTGGTCAACTGTAAATAACACTTGGTGGAACTTTCCTGAACTTGTCTTTGGATGATGCAGACATTTTTGTTGGATACACTTTAGGTTGAGTCACATAGTTATCATTTTTGTAGATTCAACATCAAATAGTATTTCATATAATGTGGTCTAATATGTAGATTTAGGAATTAACTCGTAACTTATAATTGCTTAGAGACACCTGTTAAAATTTTAGTAGATTCTGCCAGTTGGTCCAGTTTTCTACCAACTTAATTTCCTACCAGCAGCATATAATTGTTGCTGTCTGTTCTGGTCACATTTGACATAATAATTTTTCATTGTGACTTTTATCTTGCATTTCCTGGTTACTAGTGAGATTGTTTTAAGATTTATTTATTATTGGTACTGGGGATCGAACTCACGACCGCCTGCTTGCAAGGCAAGTGCTTATGCCGCTGAGCTAAATCTCCAGCCCCTTAAGATTTATTTTGACCATTTAGAGTTCTTTTAAGTACCTTTTCAAGTTATTTGTTCATTTTTAAAATGGGTCATTTGTCTTTATCTGATTGATTAAAAAGTTCTTTATACAATGAAGATACGAATCCTGGGTGGTTAAATGGTTTACGTATCTTCTGTTCTGTACTTGTCTTTTCCTCATTTTCATGGTATTTGGTGGGGGTACCAGGAAATGAATTCAGCTTTTGTTGCTAAGATTCACTCATGGTGTAGCATATGTCAGGCACTGTCTCGCTGAGCTATATCCCTGGCTTAATGGTGTCTTTTGATGAACAGATACTCTCAATTTTAATGTAGTGAAATTTTTCTATCATTTCTTTTTATCTTTTTGTATCATGAAGATGTCTTTTTACTCTTAAGATCTTGAAAATATTTTCTTATATTCTTTTTCAAGAAGTTTATTAGTTTGTTTTCTCCCTTTATGTCTATAATCCATCTGAAATTGATTTTCATGTGTAGAGTTGGGATGGGGTCCAGTTTTATTTTTACCTTAATGATATCGAATTGTCCCAATCAAAAGACCACCAGCTTCCCACTGCTTTGTAGTGTCACTTCTGTTACAAATCAGGTTTCCCAAGCCTGTATCTGTGCTAGGCTCTATTCCTTTTCATTAATGTACTATTAACCCTGTTCCTCAGCGTCTTAATTACCACAGGTTTATAGTAAGAAAGCCTTGCTCTTTCTTAAGAGAGCTTTGGGTATTCTTGTCCCTCTGCATTTCCATGTGCATTGTAGAATCACCTTTTCAAGTATCACACATCTGCTGGGATTTTTAACTGAGACTGTGTTTAAGTAATCAATTTATTTAGGATTGACTTCTTTATAATAGTGAGTTTGTCATCTAGGAATAAGTTATATCCACTAATAAAGTCTGTTTTATTGTCCTATTGAAAATTTTTGAAATAAAATATACCATTTCAATGACTTAAAAAAACTGTGGTGAAATATACATAGTAAAATTTGCCATCTTAAGTATGTAATTCAGGGGCTTTTAGTACATTTGTGATGTCATGCAATCATCATTAAAAACTAATTTTGTTTTTTTTTTTCAATAACTAATTTTAAAATATTTTTATCAACTTTCTTCTCCTTTCAAATCCCATATTCATTAAGTTCTTTAGTCCCTAGGAAGCTCTGCTTTCTGTCTTGGAGAATTGACATATCCTGATCACTTCATCTAACTAAATTATACAATAGATGGCTTTGTTTGCTTGCTTATTGTTTTTTGAGACAGAGTCCTGCTATGTAGTCCAGGCTGATCTTCACCTCATTATGTAGCCTGGGGTGGCCTTGAACTTGAGGCAGTCCTCCTGTTTTAGTCTTCCAGAGTGCTGGGACAGGTATGTGCCACCATGCTCCGCTTCTATTGCTAAGATTCATTCATGGTGTAGCATATGTCAGAACTTCATTCTGTTTGAGAGCTAAATACTATCCTGGTTGTATGCATTATATATAGCATACAGTATATATAGTTATATATCATATATTTAATCAGTTAATGATCATTATCAGTAAAATTCTGTAATTTTATAATACTCCCAGTAAGTATTAGATTTATTTCAAGGCAAATAGTTTCAAATCCTTACAAATTACATCATCACAGAATTTAATTTTGTTTATTGCTGTTATATAGATGACATTTATATCATAAAGTCTAGCATTTAATCAACTCTCTTAATAATTCCAGAAATTTATCTGTAGACTTTTTTGGACTTCGTGGTTTTTTTGAGTTTTGTTTCTGTCTTTCCATTTCTTTTGCCTTTTGCATGTTTTTCTTACCTCATCTAAACCTGTAGTACAATGCTGAGCAGTGATAGCAAGTCATCTCATCCCAAAGGAAAACCTTGAATCATTCACCATTAGATACGAAATTTGCTATAGATCTATTCATGTTTTAGATGGTCACTATCTTAACTGAAGCCTGATAACCAAAGGGAATTTCTTTTTAAATTAAATCAGTTACTTGACTAATTTTTATGGTGCTGGTGATCAAGCCCAGGGCATGGCAAGGCAGCTCTACCTCTGAGCTGCCTCCCATTTTAATTTGTAAGAAACATTTAGAAGAGCTTCTGAAAGCTCTTTGTCTCTGATTTGGTAATTTTTTTGTAAGATTGAGATCTGGCCTTTGAAGTTACACTGACTTCGCTCCAAACATGGCTCTGCTGTATGCTCATGTGATTTGGGTCAGAAATGCGAATCCTTTTAGGGTAGGTGTTGTGTTTTACTGATTTGGTTCTGTGCCCTTAACTCTGACTTCATGGCTAGTGCATCATAGGGTCTTAAAATATGTATGTTTAAAAAGTGAAGTTAATTTGAGTTTCTTTGTTTTTGAAACGGGTCTTTCTGTGTAGTCTAGGTTGGCCTTGAACTCACTATATGACCCAAGATAGCCTTGAATTTGTAGCAATCCTCCTGCTTCAGCCTCCCGAGTGCTAAGATTACAGGTGTGAGCCACTACACCCTGAACTAATTGAGTCTTGACTTGCTTATCTTATTCATAAAATAGGGATAATCATTTTTGAGCTTTGTTATCATGATTTAAATGTAGTATCTGGAATTTAACTCAGGGGCATAAGCACCTGCCTGGTCATGCAAGGTCATGAATTTGATTCCTGGTACAAAAAAAAAAAAGCATGTAACGTAGTTTGCATGTAAAATACATGAAAAATATTTTCCTTCCCTTAGGATTTACTTTTTTTTTTTTTTAAACAGCCAGGAATAGTGGTGCATACCTGTAATCCCAGCACTTGCAAGGTCAAAGCAGAAGGATTGGTGTGAGTTCAAGACCAGTTTGAACTGCATAGTGAGACCCTATCTTAAAAAGACCAAAAGATAAAACAATTTACTTTTTTTTTTCACCTCTCCTGGCCACTAAGTATTCATAGATTTGGAGAGGAGAGGCAGAATGTTTAATTTGATTGGAGAGGTTTGTTTTTGTAGGTTTCTTTGTTTCTTTTTCTTTTTTTTAGATAAGCTTTCACTATGCAGTTCAGACTGGCCTCAAACTAACTCACTTGTAGCTTGCATTGGCCAGCGATCCTCCTGCCTCGGCCTCCTGAGTGCTGGGATTATAGGTATGCACCACCGCACTTGGCATTGAGTTTAATTGAGATGAACTGTTTAAGCACAGGATTCTGCAGATTCTTTAGCATATTCCATTAAATTAATCAATTTTGTGAAAAACAGTACCAATATGGATTTAAATGATATATATTAATAGTCTCCATGAACTCTGTTGTGCACAACTGAGTAACTTTAGTTCTATTAATATTAGGTATTTTTCATTTTTACTCTTGCAGTTCTGATATCTCAGTTTTACTGAATTTTGAGTACAAGCTAATTCCATTGTCAGTTCTGTTGGCTTTTTGAAGTGCTGATATTCTTGATAGCACTATACTTCCTGTGGGATGCAGTGTGACTTCCCGTGGCCTTCCTCAGGAGGGTCTGGCCTCCTGCACAGATCAGCATCTGTGTTTAGGTAGATTTCAATTCCTGGAATAAGAGTTGATAGACTGAGAAAAGGCAAGAGTAAGCAGAAAATAGGGTTACCACAGGCGGGTTATGAACTTATAGTGGCTTTTTAGTGTCTGTGGGGGTAGGGGCTTAAGAACCCAAAGTCAGGCCACCCAAAGCTTACATATAGGTTTGGATGAGTGAGCACATGCTGCCCCCTCATACCTAAATTACACCCCAACACTCTTCTGTGTGGAGAGAGCACAGAGGCATTATCTGAGGACTTGGGTATTTGCTGCTCTGAAACCAGGTGAGAACTCTTAGGATTGCAGTTGATGTTTATTTACAACCCTGCAGGGACCTTTGCAATAACTGATGAAGAGTTGGTTTTTCTGTTTTTCAGATAGACATCAGTAAATGTCACTATTTAGTAGATTTGGACATCATGAGAGAAACACCTCGGGAACCGAAATACTCATCCAATCGAGAAGAATGGATCGGTTTGGTCCACAGACCATTCCTTGATGCCTCTAGGTATGTGTTTTAATCCTAAGAGATGTACTAAGACTAGTCGGGATGAACACTGGATTCTAGGATCAAATAATTTCCAGTCTTGGGCTGATGCTAGTAGGTATTAATTTCTTTTTTGAGGGGCCCAACATATCTTTTGTTTTTGTCTGGTTACCTGAGAAATCTAAGAGTGTTGTCTTTTTCAAAGCACCAGAATACAAAGTATATTCTGATATCAGCCAAATGAAAGCCTTCTGAGTAACACAAGGAGGTTTCCTGTAGAAAACTGAAATCAGTGTTTGAAAATGATGGATTTTGGCAAGTAACAGCATATTCAGAGTACTCATTCTCTGGGGCAGATTGATTATTTCTGTTGAAAAGCCAGAGCTTTTTTTTTTTTGGTATGGAAATTGAACTCAGAACCTTGCACCTACCAAGCAGGTGCTGTGCTACTGAGCCATATCTCCAGCCCCCAAAAGCCAGAGTTTTGTGTCCACTATTTTGAGGTTCAAAGCTCATCCAGCCTTGGGATAGGCCTTATTAGATAGATCTTAAGTAGAGAGGTCAAATAGACCAGGACTTGGCTGGCTCTTCACAAGGGTTTCGGAGTTAATGATAAGGAGAGATTTTGTCAGTCAGCTAAAGGAATAATAGCAAAGGCAATCTGGAACCCTCAGCATGTCTATAAGTTTATTATTTGGAGGTGGACAGAAGAGACATAAAATAAACATAATAAATAAGGGATTATGTGGTATATTACTAGGTGATAAATGCTAAGGAGAAAAATAATTTAAAAGGAGGGTTGAAGCAGGGCATGGTGGCACAAACCTGTAATCCCAGTGCTTGAGAGGCTGAGGCAAGAAGACCGCTGTGAGTTCAAGGCCAGTTTGGGCTACAAAATGCATTCAAGATTAGCCTGAACCGCATGGTGAGATCCTGTGTCAAAAAGACAAAAAATAAAATAATAGTTGAGAGTTCACTAGAACTGAGGGTTATACCTTTAGCTAGGGTGGCCAAGGTAGCCTTACTGAAAAACTAGTATTTGAACAAAGTCTTGAAAGAGATGTGGAAGCTACCTGGGGAACAGCTGGTGAAAAGACTCTGGCGTAAGGAAGGAACGGTAAGAGGCCTGTGAAGCTGGCGCTGAGCAGGAGCGAAGCGCAGCAGCAGTGCGGCAGAGTGTAGGTGGCCACGGCGGTGCAGGTCGGGAAGAGCTTGCAGGCTGTAGAAAGGCGTTACCCTCAAGCGGAAGAGTCGCTGTAGGCAGAAGCCATGTGACTTCTGTTTTTAAAAGATTCTTTTCAGTACTGTTAAGAATACTTGGTAGAGAATAAGTGTAACAGCAGGGAGACGAATTACAGGGCCACTGCAACAGTCCAGGCAAGAGAGGAGTATGGTTCAGGTCCGTGAGGAGGTAGCACACATACCGAGATGTGGTTAGATGCAAGTTACACATGTCGCAGCATTCGGAGTTCAAAGTGCAAGAAATGAAAGGAACTAAAGATGATCCCAAAGATTTCAATATGAGCAGCTGAAAAAATAACCATAACTGATGGGAAAGGCTGCAAGTGGAACAGGTTTTAGGAGGAGAGTGAGAGATCAGCTTTGGTTAAGTTTGATATTTCAGTGACCAAAAAATAGAACTATTTAGTAGCAGCTGGATATATAAGACTAGAGTTGAAGGGTACTGTCTGTGCTAAAGGTAGACATTTACACCTTTTGGCGTCTGGATGATATTTAAGCACATGAGACTGGTTAAGATGCCCCAAAAAGTGGATGAAGTTAGGGGCACGATCGTGTTATAGGCTGGGTGTGGTACCTCATGCCTGTAATCCCAGCACTCAGGAGGCTGAGGCAGCAGGATCACTGTGAGTTCAAGTCCAGCCTGGGTTACAAATGAACTCAAGGCCAGCGGGGCTAAAAAAGAGATAGTGTTAACTGTCTCAGGAAAAGAGAATGAACCAGCAAGGTGAGTGTCTTAGTCACTTTCCTTGTAGCTGAGATGCAGTACCTGAAACCCACCAATTGAAGAAGGAAAGATTTCTTTGGGCTCATATTTTAGTTCACAGTTGGCTGGCTCCCAGGCAGGAAGGGCAGCATGGAAGGCCTAGTGGGCAAGAAAGCTGCTCTCATTTTGGTGGCCAGGAGGGGCTGGGAGGGGAGATGCACTCTTCCAGGTCATGGCCCGGGTGACCCACGCCTTCAGCGAGGCCCTCCCTCTAACGGCACATCCGCTGTGGACCTGTGGTGGACCTGTCCACCAGTCTGTACAGCATGCCCAAGATCGGTCCCCTTCCATACCTGTGAGACTGGGAGACTGTCTCCAATCCAAACCACAGCAGTGCCTCAGGAGTGACATCAGTGAATCAGAATGGAACAGTGTCTCGGAAACCAAAGGGACAAAGGATAATACCTTTTGAGCCAAAGGCATCAGCTGTATCGGAAGCTTTTGATAAATCAGTAAGGTGAAGATTAACGACTGGTCCATTCAATTTTGTAGCAGGCAAAAGCAATTTAGAGAAGTGGCAGAGTGGTAGGAGTTTGAGAGACTGATTAGAAGGGTTAAAATGAGATAACCGGGCTGGGGCTGAGCTCAAGCAGTAGAGGCCTGTCCCACACGCACAGTTCCTGGATTTAGTCTCCATAAGCATCACAAATAAGCAAAATAAAAACCCAGTGAGAAAGTAGGAGAATGGAATGTACAAATCACAAGTCTTTAGAAGCTTTTTTCCATATCAGAAAAGCAGGGAAACAGGGCTATTAGGGTAGATGGGTGTCAGGGAAACTCATAGAGAAGATTTTTTTTTTTTTTTTTTTGGTCTTTTTTTCATTTTTATCGGTACCGGGGATTGAACTCACGACTGCCTGTTTGCAAGGCAGGTGCTTATGCCGCTGAGCTAAATCCCCAGCCCCCCATAGAGAAGATTTTTGACCTTTTAAAAATATTCTCATTTTGATAACATGAAATTTGCCATCTTATCCTTTTTGTTTTTTCCAGTATTGGTGATGGAGCCCACGGTCTTTATCCTCAGCCCTATTTAGAAATTTTGAGACAAAATCTCACTAAGTCACTAAGTCTCAGGTACTAAATGTTCCTAAATTTGAATCCAGGCTCAAACCCTTCAGTGAAGTGGCAGAGTGCTGGGATTATAGGCGTGTACTACCATGTCCAAGGGGTACCGTGAGTGCCCCTTGTCTGAAATGACTGGGGCCAAAAGTATTCAGGTTTTGGATATTTTCAGATTTTAGAGTATTTGCTTATATATAATGTGAGTTATCTTGGAGATGGGACCCAAACGTAAACACAAAGCTCATTTTTGCTTCCTATATACTTTATACACATAACCTGACAGCAATTTTGTGCAATGTTTTTGATATTTTGTATGTGAAATAAATTTTCATGGTATGAAAATTTCCATGTGTTATGTCAACCCTCAAAGAGTTTTGGATTCTAGAGCATTTCAGATTTGATAGTTTTTGGATTTTCAACTGGTGTAAATATCTATGTATGCACCAGGTATATAGCTCAGTAGCACAGCGCCTACCTACCAAGCACGAGGTCGTGAGTTTGATTCCTGGTACCAAAAAAAAGCCCCCAAAAACAACTCTATGTGCAACTTTTTGTGTGGACATATTTTATTACCTTTGGGTAAATACCAAATAGTTTAATTCTGGGTTGTGTGATTTTGAGTCTGTTTAGTTTCCTAAGAAGCTGTTAAATGATTTTCCAAAGCGACTGTACCCTTTCATATCCCTGTAAGCTGTGAAGAGAGTTTCTGTTATTCTGTATCATAACAAGCCATTGGGACTGTCAGTATTCTGGATTTTGGCCTTCAAAATAGGATTGTAGTGTTATCTCATGGTTGTTTTCATTGGCATTTAATAGTAAATTTACCATCTGTATAGTTCTTTGGTGAAGAACTCTTATTTTTAAGGTTCATTTTTTGGGTTTATTTTCTTATTGTTGAATTTTAAGATTTTTTGTATATTTTGGATAACAGTCCATAGTCTTTTGCAAGTATGTTTTTCCATACTTTTTATTTTCTTGATGTCTTTTCAAAGCAAATTTTTAAAATTTTAATGAAGTTCAAGTTATTTCTTTTTTAAAAATGGATCATTTTTTGGTGTTTTATCTAAAGAGTGATGACCAAACTGAAGGTCATGTAGATTGCCTTCTATGTTATCATCTGGGAGTTTTATACTTTTCATATTACATTTAGAATAATTTGTTTTGTTTTGTTTGAGGCAGGACCTCATATGTAGTTTAGGCTGGCCTGACACTCACTGTGTACCCCATGTTGGCCTCAGATTTACCATCCTCTTGCCTCAGCCTTCTGAGCCCTGGAATTGTGGGTGTACACCTCTATGCCTGGCTTGTGATCCATGTTGTGACAGATACGTGGTCTGTATCTACATTTAATAATTTGAGTGAGGATATCCAGTTGTTCAGCACCATTTTACTGTTTTTGTTTCTTTATATTTATCTGGATCCATTTCCAGACTTTATTTTTCCCTGTCTATTTTTTCTCCAGTTTCAAAATGTTTTGATTAGGGGCTGGGGATTTAGCTCAGCGGCATAAGCGTCTGCCTTGCAAGCAGGCAGTCGTGAGTTCGATCCCTGGTAACGATAAAAATGAAAAAGACAAAAAAAAAAAAAAGTTTTGATTAAAAAAGTAATAAGAACTATGGTAGTAATAAAACCCAAAATGTGTAATTGTCATTGTACAAAAGAAAAGAAAAGAAAGTGCTCTAAAGGTTATAACTGCATGTATGTTTAAGTGTATAATATAGATAACCATATTACTGAGTGTTTTTTGGATCATTGAACAAAACTGTTTGTACTCTCACTGTTTGAAAGTTCACTTTATATGCTTCAATTTTGTAACTTGAACAACTATTTCTAAGATGAGAATATGTAATCTATTAACTAGTGATTTCTTACTGTTTATTTTTTTTAAGTTTTGTATTACTTGTCCCCTTTTTCTGTTTTTTTTCCTTTTTCTCCTTAAATAAAAAAAATGTTT